TGTGTGTAACACTTGAACCACTGATCTTGTGTGTAACACTTGAACCACTGATCCTGTGTGTAACAGTTCAGTGTTGATCCTACAGTAACACAGGATAGGGCACTGACTGTGTGTCAGGTTTTTCTGAGTACTTCACATACATCTGCATCACATGCATTATATTACTTGATTCCCATAAAAGCAATATTTTTATTCTTATTTTACAGAAAAAGGAACTTAGCTTCAAAGGATATTAAATTACTGGTCAAAGGCCACACTGCTAATAAAGAGCAGAGCCAGTATTTGAACCCAGAGAATCAGATTCTAATATTACTACCTCACATACTGGAAAACCAGCCACCACTTGGGTGCAGCACTGTGGTCTGTTGTGATTTTCAGTCTGGGGTATTGCCTCCAAAATCGTGACTTTCTGAATATTATGTTCTGAGCTGCTCTTGGGACCAGAAGATGGAAGTGGCTAGGGAAGCGGGGACGACATCCACAATCTGTACACAACAGGAAGTTTTTTCCCTTTTCTGACTCCATATCCCAAGAAGCCTGGATTGGGTCATTCTCATCTCTTCTAGGTTTTGTCTGAGTGGTCAGCAGGAAGGCAGGGTGTTCACATGGAATTTCTCTGTCAGTCTGGGCTCCAGTTCTGCCCATTTTCCACCCTCACACCTCTACCCCCATATTCACTAACCATGTGGCTTCAGGCAGGTTGTGCAACTCCTCTGAGCCCCAGTTTCCTCAGCTACATAACAGAAGTAGTAATAGCATCTACCACATGATACTTGTGTAAGCCAAAATGAAACACTTACCCCGCCACTCAATATATAGTAAGTACCTGGTGTGGCACTGCAGGCTAATGCACTGGACTGCAAGGTCGGTTTGAACTGCAAGGTCAGCAATTCAAGCTCACCATTTGCTCCTCAGAAACCCTATACTGGGTCTCTATGAGTCAGAACTGACTCAATGGCACTTAACAATAACAACACTCAATAAATGGAATCTATTACTAACTACAGGGTTGCTGTGGGTCGGAACCAACTTGATGGCACTTCACAACAATAACATTACTAACCTAATTTTCACTCATTCAACTCATTTATTAGTTCATATTTGTACTAGTGCATACATTACAAATGCAAAATGCTGTGAAACCAGAAGACCTGAATGATGATGTCCAGCTACCATTGCTGAACATTTTGATCAAAGACACTATAAAGGAATCCTGATCAAAAGGGAGAAAATGAAGAACAGAATTTCAAATTCTCTTGCAATCCAGAATTTCTGTAGCCACGGAAACTGGATGAGCCCTTGAAACTATTGCCCTGAAATACACTTAAAACCAAATATATACTCTGAAAACTTCTTAAAAGCAAACAATAGTTTAGCTTAACTAGTAGAGAATATCTCCATTGAGAATTATGCTCTTTTAAGAACTATCTGTATGGGATCAAACTGATAACAGCAACTGGAAGGATTAGATGAGAAGTTTAGGAGGCAGTGAGATTATGTTAGTGAGGAAGGAGCGACTTAGAAAAGAAGTGTGAGATGATTATGTAACTCAAAGACTTTAATAGTGACCTGCAGAAATTGTTGAATTGGTATGTTCCTTCTAAGTATATTCTCAACAAAAATAAAAACCATTTTTTAAAAAAGTGTATATGGGAGGAAGACTATCCAGGACAGTGAACACAGAAAACTACAACAAGAGAGAAAACTGGGCAAAGTCAATGAGGGTCAGGGTAGGGAGCTGTGAAGTCAAGCTGTGGGGTTCAAATCCCTACTCTATTAAATATTTGAGTCACTTTGGGCAAATGACTTAGATTCTTTATGCCTCCGTTTCCTCACAAAGTTTTGTGGGTTTTTTTGTAAATGTTTTATTGTGAATTATGTGATAATTTACATAGGAGAACATTAACTTTACATTCATCCTACCATTGGCATGGTTACAATCCCCTCAGTGTATCACCAACCAACCAAAGGGTATACCCTGCAAGCCTGCCCCCCAGTGGTCAGCACACAGCCCCTCTCCCTCTCTGGTTCTAGAGTCCCCAGCTGCTCCATTTCTCCACGACATCTTCTCTGCCTCCATCTCTGGCGTCACTGTTTCTCTGGGTAGGGTCCCGCACTCCGCTCTTCTCCCTTAATGATCCCAGGGACCTCTGGTCCTGGACTGCAAAGTCAACCACTCCCCTCCTTTTGCTACAAAACATCTACCTTTACATTTCCAGCCCTCACGGTCGGTCACTCCTGATAACAATTATTCACTACTGTACCACAAGAGGTCTATCCCTAGGTCCTTCCATCAGCCCCACCCAGACTGATTACATACTACTCAGTGGAGATTCTACCTTCCTCCACGCCCTCTGGATCTAGACTCCCTCTTGAAAGCTTGTAAGCCAGTCACTTCTTGCCTTTGTAGCCCCTTCCCCCCCCCCCCCATTTTGGGTAGCCAATGTCCAAGTTGCCCATCCCTGTCTACCCTGCGTATCGAGGGGGTGGGAATGATCTTCACTGTAAAGATTTGTTCCCTCTTTTGAGCTACTGCATCCATAGGTATAGGTCAAGTTCAGCAAATTGTATCAGATTACTCTTTTCTTCCTCTTCTTTCTTCTTCTAGTTGAGTTCTGATCATCCAGTCATTGAAGCCAGGTCAAGTGGGTATTATCTGCAAGTATGGGTGTTCTTATGCATATGCCCTCTCTTCTTATCAGCTGGATGCTTCACTCTCCACTCTAGTCCTCTGTGGCTATGTCACTGACTCTGGGCCCAAGAGTCCCCAGGTCTTGCCACACTGCTGGCCAACCAAGTCTCCACCCGGGTTCACAGGAGTCTATTGAACAATGTAGGGCTTAGCTCGCAGCTTCATTGCTGTTTTTCCCTCACTTCTCCTTATTGGTGAGGCACGTGGTCACCAATCAGAGTGCATGTCCTCACAAAGTTTTTGAGAGGTCCCAATGAGTTAATAGGTGCAAATCTCTGATAATACTGCCTGGCATGCACATTGAAAAAAATTTTTTTAATTAAAAAAGGAATCAAAGTAAGGGCCAGGGGTAATCATAGACATGCTCCCTTCATTTTAAAAATTTGGAAACTGAGGCACAGAAATGTTAGGCCTCTCGTTCCTGAACTAATTAGGAACAAAGACCAGATGTAAATTAGGGCCTGATTTCCTGTCCAATTTTCTTCCTACTATACCTCCCATGCCACTCTAGGATAAAAGCACTGGACCTCAAGGTGCGTTTGAACTGCAAGGTCAGGGGTTCAAATTCACCAGATCGCTCTCCCGCAGAATAGCTAAGTAGTTTCAAACTGCTGACCTTAAGCTTAGCAGCCCAATTCATAATAATCCTCAAAGACAAGAAAACGTGACCAGTGAATTCAAAGGAAGGGAGGGTGAGTCCAAGAGTTTGAGGAGGAGGCAGCTGGCCAGCTGAGGTTCATGCTTGTGCATTTTCTGTTCCCATACACCATTTCAGGAAGTGCTGCTGATGAAGAAGATCAGTGGTCAGATGACTTCGTAAGTATTTGCTCCTGGAACCAGAAGGTACCGTTTCTGCCGCCGGATAGTGGCTTACTTCTGAATTACACATTGCTGGGTCAGCTGCATGTCACAACTAGAAAGGCTACCTACAGACAAGGCAGCCATAACCTCCTTCAAGGCAGATTTGACCCCCCACTCACTAGGGCCAGCCCTCTGGCTAAGAGCTTTATATGCTTGAATTCATTGATTACTCACTGCAGCCGATTCCTATCCCTATTTTCAATGCTGACATTCAGCATACACACCAGCACAGCCAAAACAGATGTGAAGATGTTCAAACATTTACATATTGGTTGGAGTCTGCCCCAAAGCTCCATCACCAGTACCCCTGCCCAGGCTCCCAGGCCTGGTGCATCTGGGGCCTCCAGGATTCTTTGCAAATGGCCATAGTGTTGATTCTGACTCGTAGTGGGTCCATGCGTCTCTGAGTAGAACTGTGCTCCATAGGGCTTTCTGTGACAGTGGCCATTCAGAAGTAGATACCAAAGCATTCTCACTTTGGTTAGTAGCCAAGTGCTGAATCATTGCACTTCTCAGGGACTCAACTGTCAGTTGCTGTTGTTGTTATGTGCCGTGGAGTCGGTTCTGACTCGGTAGCTGTACCATAGTAGTTGTTAAATATTTTGAATATCAACCGTGCCCATTTTACAGGAAAGAAACCAAGGTATGATAACTTTAAGTAACTGGCAGTTCCAAAATTCAAACCCTGGCTCTCAGATCTCAGAACCAGGCTTAGACACCAAGATGCTTACTGTGATCAAGAAGACATTAGCAGAGCACCCAGAGTGAGGCATTGGGACCTAAACGTAATAAGACGGGG